TAAATGGTATTGTGTGTCAGGACTCTTTGAATCACTATAATTCATTTCAGAGCCGGTTGATCAGTTTGTCTGGTGAGTTCAATTAAAGGAAATTACTGCAGAAGGATGTTCCTCATTATTAACCAAGCCGCAGGTTCCAGGCAATATGGGAGACAGAAAAGATTTCTCTGGTGAAGAAAGTCATCAGATAGTGTAGTGCCGTATGACAAGGTCTGAAAACATGAGATATTTAACAAAAACTGAAGCGATTTTTTTTACTGGAAAGTGATTTGTGGCTGATTCAGAACAAAGATGGTTTGTACAGATAAAGGCTAAAGAGGAAAGTTTCTGTTAGACAAATTCATGGGACTAAGAGAGCAGCTGTTAAAATGCCCTTAGAAAGCAGCAAAAAGTGATTAGAAGCTGCTGGAGCCTCAAGGTGGAGGAGCCTCCAGAGGCTTGCGGTGCATGAACCGACTACTGGGCCCTAACCTGCTATTGGGCCCCTAACCGACTATCCATTGAACCGAAAAGTTCAATAGATGCAAGAATTGAGAGGGTGATATCAAAGACTGTTTGCAATTCTTTATAATCCATAAAATGCTTAGAAAACCTGCAGTGCAGAATAATTTGGAGCAGAGCATTTTGAATTTTTTATGTTTGAAACAAATACTGTTCTCATTGGGAGCTTTGGTCAGTAAAATTAGATTTATACTATAATAGTTCATGACTTGAAAATTATGCAGAAGTTTAAACTTGGATCCCAAATTACAAATTGGGGAATCACAAAAGTCTCATGCATATGGTCACCAGATTAGGGATGGGAATTTCTCATATTATCATTTAACATCTAATTCAATTATTTTTTTCCTTTTTTTCTCAGCAGAATCAACAAACCTCACCAAAGATTTTTACTCTTGTTTGTCGTCCAAGACAAAAACCATAAGACAAAATTGACAAAAGACAAAATCAGACATAAATTTGCAGCAAGACATAGAAGCTAAATTAATAATTCCTGAAGAAAATAATCTGTCAATGGAACTAGAACTAATATTGCTTTTCAACAATATTAAGTATTTATTTATTTAAAACAATCTCCTAATTCATGCTGTTATGTTACTTTTCGTTTTCTCTTAATTCAAGTGTAGTGATATATTTTCACTAAACCACATTTCCTTGGTTTAGGAAAATTGTTTTTGCAGCGTCGACATTTTAAAAGTTGACTCAAAATTCTCATGACAACTGAATATAAACAAACCTGCTGTTCAGTGAAAATGAGGAAACAGAATAGGAAAATATTTAGATACCAAAGTCACCAATTTAGCTCTTAGTTTAGGGTTTTAGTTCAATTTGATAAATGTGTAAAATATCATAATATTGATGTTGAAAAGTTGCCATTTAATTATGAAATCTTTTGATTGGATACCAACACCGTAACATTCCAGATGTTGTTTGTTTGATGTTTTTCCCAGTATGACAGTTTGGCAAGACGATTTCACTGTTTAGTCTGATTCAGGCCTGTCGCAGCGCAAACTTCTGCTTTTAAACCTAAATCTGGCAGGATGTATTTCTGTCCCAGTAAGCAATTAATCAATTAATTTAAAGCATGATACATTTAAACAAACTAAAAAAAATTACTTTTCTCTTTCGGTCAAAAACTTGATGACAAAAGCCTTTATATACTTGAATAGAAGTAATTCTTGCTAATAGTCATAAATGATACACTAGATGTGTTAAGGATTGTGAAACAAACTCAAACACAGTCGTGTTTTAAACAAACACATTTGCTCCTCATGACCAACACGCTGCCTGTCTCTGCTGTTTAAACAGTCACTTCATCATCAAACTCAGGGAAAAATGATAAGTACACCGCAATGTGAGCATTGGTTATTCAAATGGGACGCTCAGGTGACACAGAAGAAAAGCAAACAGCATGCTGCCAAATGTGGCACATGTAAAACTAATTATAGCGCACCTTTTGTTTGCACAAAGCTGCAAATTGCTGTGCGGAGCGTGCATCAACGTCTGCGTTTCTGTCGCTGTCTCAGAGGAACAGCATGTTTGAAAGGGAATAATCAAAAAATATTCAATTATTTTATAACTTCATTAACACATAATCCAAGATAATTGAATGTTGTTCTTTCTAATCATTTAAATCAGGAATAATAGGTTTATTTTACAAATATGTAATTCTTTCTTTCACTGTATAATAAATGTTTTAGTTTTGTGTGATGAGACAAACTGGTTTTTATCATATATAACTACCATGAATGTAGTTTACACTCATTCTTCTAGAAAAGAAGTTGCTTTTATTATTCTTTTTGTACATAAGTAGTAAAGAAAGTTTTCTAAATAAACACAATCTATGAATATTTAAGGTGATTTAAATACAACCTTAAAATATTTTAAAATGTATAAATATATAAATGTTTGTTATGAACAAGGATCAATGTTAAAAAACTTTATGCTGAAATCTGTCAGTTGTACAAAATCTGAAATTTTTCCCTTAACTCACATTTTCTCCTTCACAAAGTAACATTTTGAAATATTTATGAAACACTGCTGAATACATTTGAATATAATTGACATATATTTAAAAATTTACGTTGATTTGACACAACTAAGTAATGAACTGGAAACCACATGCCAATGTGCTGCTATAAAAATAAAAACAAGTTTTACATGCATTTTGCCAAACATATAATGTGCACTGAATATTTTTAGTGGTTAAAAAGTGTAAACCTAAAATGCAGCCGCTTAATAAAAAAAACACAATTTTAATTTGATTTGTTCAGGTTTCACACATTAAAACAGGATATTGGAAGACAAATTCATTGTCTTTGTGCCTGAATATTCCATTGTTCAACCCATCCGCTAAAAAAGGCCTTTGAATAAAATGTCATGCCACTGACTTCCCGGAGACTTTTTTACGGCACGTTTCAAGGTGAATGGAAGCCGCAACCACTAATCCTTTCACTGACAAATGACTGCGGCCAAACCCTTTCCTGGCTCTGTGACTCTAAAGACGCCGCAAAGTTGATTTGATTTGTTTACTTTGGGAAACATTTACATTTTGGAACCCTCTGTGCATCCTTTCTGTAGATACATAAGAAAGAAGAGAATTGTTGAGGAGGGGAAGTTGAGATCAAAGTTCAAATGAGCTTTGGTTATTGACCTGCGAGTCTAATCAAATGAGGTTGGTGAAGCCTGTGAGCGTCTTCCCGGGTCATCCCAGAGTCACTGCTCATCCACAATGCACACATAGCAAACTATTATTTGGAATAAGGAATGACGCATTGCAAATCCTGACTGAATACAAAAACAAACATTTAAACACTTACTATTGCTGCAAATGCATCTTTTTTCCCTTTAAATAAAGGTAACCTTTGACAGCGAATGTTTACACAAAAGGTATTTCTCAGAGTGAATGATGAGACATATTTTGAATACACATTTCTTTACACTAACCAACATTATATGATTTATTTGAATAAGGTACACTCGGTGTCAGTATAAACAGATACTGAGCTGCAGGGACAAAAACAGGATAATGATGATTATACGACTGTTGAGGTTTAACAAACAAATATCCAGTGAAAACAGCTTTATCTTTTCATAATGAAATCAAAACACGGTTTCTGATGTCAAAATGATGCAAATAAAGTTTTGCTAAACTTGTGTTTCATTTGCATGCTGAGCCTCTGGATCTCCACAATGCTATAATCAGACTTACTGATATTTAAATACCAGCTACATAGTTTCAGACTCAACTCCTGTTTGTTTTGAGCTCAGGTGCGTGTCATTCACAAAGACTTGCTATTAAACTTCAGGGCTGCACAAAACCCAGTTTTACAGCGACAACTGTGGGTCTGTGCTGCCATCTGGCGTTCATTTAACGAACTGCGTACAGAAACTAAAATGCCACATTTAACCTGGGATACTTTCTCTGACAAAACTTCTCCTTTGACGACAAATATCTGATCATTGTGGCAATGAAAACACCAATTTCGTCTAGTCATTATTTCTTAAGACCAATAAAACTTGAAATCTAAGATTTTTAATCCAGAAATACCTACAAAAAATATGTTAATGTTTGGAAATATGAGCTGGTGTCAAGTTATGCTGGGAAATGAAATTAGCTTCGTGAAGTTTGTCAGAAGAAGAAAGCATGAAGAGAACAACACTCCAGCCCATCCATATGGGACTATTTTGGAAGCGGTTGGATTTAATTAGTAGTATGAACAACTATGCAAAAAAACCCACCAACAACAAGGCTTTCAGTAAAAAAACAACCAAACAAACAGGTGTTCACCAACTTAAGGTGAACACCTTAGGATGGTTTATTGTAATCCACATATCCATATTAAACATCTTGAAGCTTTGACAGTCGCCTCAAGAATAATGTTTTCTGTGTTGTTTCTGTATTTTTTCCTTCCACTCAACTTCCAACTGATGTGGATCCGGCGTTTTGTGAACAGTCGGTTGGCTAAACAATGATTTTTTGTGGCTTACACTTTCTGTGGAGACAGTTAATAATTGTTGACTGATGAACTGTAAAGTCAGTACTTTTCTACGAGAATGAAAGGGCCATAGCATAATTCTTATCAATCAATGAAACCTTAGTTTGGTCAATTATTGCTTATTTCTTACTTTAATAAATAGAGCTAATTAGCAAAGTTAGCAATAAAATAAACCTTTGAATTGCCCTATGATGGGGTTTATATCACCACTCGTGAAAGACAACAGATGAACTTGAATACACATAGTTATTGTGTAATGAGTCTGCGAATTGAATTTCACGTATTGAATAGAAATCTTAGTACCTTTCTGAGAGCCAAACGAGTGTAAACAGAAAAAGTAGATCCAGATCTCACAAAAAGAGCCCAAACTCCTGATAAGTGGCAACAGAGCAGGCACACGCCCCATATAAACAAAACAAAAAGACTGACCGATATTCACCCAATCATCAGCCTCGGGAGGCGGAACTTCCGGTGACATTGACAAATCAGCGTTGGTGAAGCGAGACGAGAGCAAAGTGAATATGACAGCAAAACAACACCGAAGGGGGAGTGAACTTCTAGACACCCGTCATATTTCTGAAGAAACGTTACAGTAATCCCTTCTAACAGTGTACGGTTTCACAGCAACTGAAAGGTAAAATAATTCACGTCGCTCTTCTTTCTAATCTTTACGCTTTTCTAATAACTCTGCGCGGTGTTCAACTGTCCAAACTTTGTGACACGGAACAGATCACAGGCTCCGAAACGACAGCTAGCAGGCTAAGCTAGTTAGCTGTTAGCTAAGTTCTCGCTCGAGCGAAACAAACGCCTTTAAAATCGGCTCAATTATTTGCGCTGCGAAGCCCCGTCTTTCTCAGCGTCGTATTTAACCTGCATTAAGTCTCCAAAGGTGCTGGCACGACGCTGACAGAATCCCGACTTTCATCTTAAGTTAGATTTTTGTCTGCACATGATGGCCACCAGTTTTTAGAGGAAGCCATGATGATCCAATCAGAGTCGCTTCTTCTTCTTCTTCTTCATGGTGATAGTTCACCAGCTAACGGTCATGTAACTGTACAGGAATGTCTCAGAGAACCCGCTCAATGTTTAACTTTAACCTTTATATTTTGGTGTTTGAGTGCAGTGGTTTGTCAGCGGCAGTGTGCATTTCGGTGTTTTAGTCAATAAGACATTGAACTGCGCGTCTGTTCTGTGTTGCTGTTGTTAACCTGGATGAACTCCCTTCATTTCTACATAAAAATCTGCTTTTTGTATTATGGCAGCATATTTAAGGCAATAACATTTCATCAGGAAAAGACAGCAACAAACATTATACATGACTTCATATCGGCTTTTAATTAAATGTTTCCTATTTTGTATTTTTCTAGGTAGCTTTGTAGCATGGGCGGTTCTAGATGAGGGCAAAAGGGGCCAATGCCCCGCAGAACTATACTGAAAAGATAAGATTAAATCTATTCTGACTAATAATTGTCACGGATCAAATTAAATTTATCGCCTTCACAGTTTTAGTTTAACCGTGAATTACAGATTAAGGTGTTGTAGTTTTAGCTTTAGCTGTACTAGGATGACAGTTTTCATCTGCCAGATCAGATATCTGCAATTTGCAGTTATGAAGTTGAAACACAAATAAAGTCAAAATAAAAACCTTTTCTGCTTCCACAGAATTTTAGAAGGAGAAATTAGAGCAGTCAGGTTCCTATGATCAAATAACTTGAATTACTGATCATCTGTTGTCACAATAGCCAGAAACTCTGGCATTTTCAAGGTTTCTCCCAGAAAATGTACAGTCTGGTGAAGACGACTGTCCACCATGTTATTGAGTTAAAAGGTGTTTACAGTTGACAGGAATTTTGACAATAGTTAATTATGTGTAATTGTAAGACACTATATAATCAATGTTTAAAGTGTTAAAAAAGACAAACATAAAAAAATACAAATAAAATTAAAAAAATGTGCACTTCTGTTGTTTCATCCAAGTTAAAGTGTCCACGTTATTTTATGTCCTTATTTGTGACTTTTCACTTTATTCACTGAAGTTTTTGGCATGTAAACCAGTAAAGACAGGAAGTGGTTACAGAGTTCAAATGAAAAAAAGACACCTGACCTGATGTGACTAATACTGACCATACTATGTTGTCATGTTGACAAAAAATGGAATAGTACATGCAAAATGTTTTCCTTCATTTGTTTCCCTTTTTTGTTTTCCTGATTTAAAATCCAATACTTGTTTATTCTCCCTCAGCTGACTGGTGTCCTCTAAGACCGGTAGATGTCCACGCCGTCAGACACGTCAGGTGGCATGTCCCATCCTGGCCCATCACCAGGGGCAGGCCTGTCCCCAGGGCCCATCTTGGGCCCCAGCCCCGGACCTGACCCCTCACCAGGTTCTGTTCACAGCATGATGGGCCCCAGTCCTGGACCAGGGACACCCAATGCACCGCACGGCATGCAGGCCCAGGGACAAAGCGATTACTCTCAGGACAACATGTATCCTATGCATAAGGTCGGCTTTCACTCTACTGCCTCATATTGTGTTTAACAGTTCTTTGTTGTTGCACCGACAAAACATCTGAAGCAAATTCAAGCTATCCGGATGCAATTAATTTTTTTCTAAGTGGAATGAAGTTACATTTTCTGTTAAATTAGATTATTATCAAGTGATCGTCTTCACTTCTATTCAAAAATACCTTATTTGTCCCAAAGTGAAGTCAAATGCTGTAATTCATAACAGCAGAGTATCTCTAAAAGAGTCGTAGATGTTGATGCTGGAGGCAGGAAGGTTCTCCGGTAGCAGTCAGTCTTGCAACAAATCTGGAAATGCTTCTGACTGAAGACAGTTGGTTCTGCTTCTCTCTCTGCATTCATGAAGCCTCCCTTTCAACTCTTGTGAGATTTGGGCTTGTAGTTCAGATATTATGTGAACCTTTGAGATACTAATTAGCTGCTGAAGGTAGTAAAAATAATGCTTTGCTGCTATGGCTACAAATCATAATAAATATTAAAAGCAATGAAAGGTAAGAGCAAATGACCTACCACCTGCAAAAGCAGAGAAATTAATTGTAAAAAAAAAAAATTCAACCCCAATCAAAACAGATAAAACAAAAGCTATAAAAAACTTAATATATTTACTAACAGTCAGACCAGCGTTTTGAAGCAGGAAGAAGAGCAGCATGACCAAGTCTCCTGTTTCTCTGTCTTGTTTCAGCCCATGGAGGCGGCCATGAACGATAAGACGATGGCCGAGGCGATGCACTTCGGACACATGAAAGGTGTCGGCATGCGATCCCTGCACAGCGGCATGGGGCCTCCTCAGAGCCCGATGGACCAGCACAGCCAAGGTGAAGCTCTGGGTGTAAAATTTAAATAAATATACAAAGTTGATACCATAATCCAATTTTCTGTGTCTAGAAGAAATTACAACTAATAACCCAAAACTGAGAAAGCAAAGATTATTATTATTATTGTTAAAAAATAAATATCAGTCTTTACAGCTCTTGAAATTAAACAACCTGAGTCTGCAATGTATTTAATGGTGTTTTATGGGAGAAAGCAACAGGAGTTGTATGTTAATGTTCATTTTAAAAGAGTGGCTAGCATTTGTGTTTATCAAATGGGATAAACACAAAAGGTCATGACCTTTTACTTGAGGTCATGTTATAAGTGAAATAATCTGATATTGAAACTAGCACTTTTTAAAATCAATACTATAAAATTAGTGACTTAAAACAAGCTTCTATTTCTTGCTGAAAAGTTCGTAAGTTGGTTTTGACTTATTCTGCGCATGAGATAATTGCACTAGAATTTGGACAAAAATACTGGGTAAGATTTTGTGTTTTTGCAGTGAACAGAAATAGATAATAAATTTATATATCCAAGAAAGTATTCGAACATCTTCTCTGTTGGTCTGTCACAAGAAAAGAAGTAAAATACAAATTTCATCCTGATGATTGTGAATTTTCTGAAACATTGAACTTTTTGGGGGGTTTTGTGGGGTCAGGATACATGTCTCCACATCCATCCCCCATGGGAATCCATGAGCATGCCTCCAGCCCCATGTCCGGAGGTGGAGGCGGGCCGACCCCGCCCCACATGCCTCCATCCCAGCCCGGCCCCATGATGTCCATGGACCCTCAGGGAGGCATGGCCAGCATGTCGGGGATGGGCCAGCCGGGGCGCGGCCCCTCCTCCTTCAGCCCCGTCCAGCTGCAGCAGCTCAGGGCGCAGATCCTGGCCTATAAGATCCTGGCCCGCGGGCAGCCGCTGCCCGAGAACCTCCAGCTGGCTGTTCAGGGCAAAAGGAGCCTACCCACGATGCAACAGCAGCAGCAGGCGCCGCTGCCGCCGCAGCAGCAGCAGCCGCAACCGCAACAACCACAACAACCACAGCAGCAGCAGCAGCCGCAGCAGCAGCAGCAGCAGCAAGCATCTGGTGCTAGTCCATACAGGCCTTCAGGTAGGAAGAGCAACCAAACGTATATAATGACAGGTTTCCCTTTTTCAATCAATCATGTTTATTTGTAGCACATTTCATCAACAAGGTGGTTCAAAGTGCTTTACATCATAAAAACACAATAACACCAAGCCACAAAACACACAGTCAACCAGTAAACATTACATTGTGTTAAATGTAGTGATGCACCAATTTCAATTTTCTGGCCGATTGCCGATTATCAAACCTGATCTGCTGATTCTGATTTTAGCTGATGTAATTTTTTTCGTCTGAAATATTGCAAAAATGAACAAGAAAGTTGCTGAGTTGGCGACGGTGGAGTGACTGTCGTTAAACTGCAAACATGCAGACATGACCTGACGGGCCGGTTTGTCAGTCGAACCTCTCACTGCAGAGCAGTGAGGTAAACATGTTAATATCAGTAAAATAAAGAAAATCCTCGCTGATTAATTGGCTGATTGATAAATTGGTGCACACATAATCAAGTGTCAACATTGCAGATCAAAATGTTGGTTGGTGTTTCATTAATTATGGTTCAAAAGCAACTCTAACCAGGTGACTTCTTGGCCTTTTCTGGAAGTTTGTTCCGGATTTGTGGCGCATAGAAGCTGAATGCTGCTTTTCCATGTTTGGTTCTGGTTCTGGATGCAGAGCAGAACCAGAACCAGAAGACCTCAGAGGTCTGGAAGGTTGACACAACAGCAGCAGGTCTTCAATGTATTTTTACTTGTTACTTTGCAAAAAGGTTTTGCAACATTTAACACTGCAAACAAACACAGTTTTTTATTATTATTTATGCAAAAATAAATAAACAGAAACAACAAATAAAATGAATTATGAAGTCTCTTAGTTGAAAATAAAACACCAAACTGAAAACTTTCATCAACCAATTTTTGGAAGTAAGACAGAAAATAGAAAAACAATAAATTATGCAAATATTAATTATTGAGTTGTTTTAATTTAGTTGATTTATTGCAACAGGCCTAGACCTTTTTATTACCTACAGTTATAAAAACATGATTTGATTCCAACAAAAATTTACTTTGCTTATATCTTTTATCTGTTTTCCACTTTATAAATGACACAAATACTTGCAAATGTTTGCAATAAAAAATATATAAGTTGAAAAAAGTGTGTTTTTCTACATATGGCTACAACTGATTGCTTTAGGGTTATTTTTACATCTCCAGCATTTATTCAGAAAGCATCTCCTGGATGTTGCTGTTTTCTTCAGCTCACCTTGACATTTTCAGAAAACTTGTGTGTTGGATCTAACTGGTTTTGTCTGAAAGGTATGTCGATGGCTCCCATGAGCGGCCCCCAATCAAGCCCCTGCCCAACACCAGCACTGCAAGGACACAATCAAAGCACCGGACCCAAGCCTTGGACTGACGGTGAGTCAGTCCACCATCGCTTCTGATGCTGGAACAGAAACAGAAAAGCTTCTTCACCGACATATCATGTACACACTAAAGATGAGATTATTAAAAGTCTTATTTTATTTCCCAGGTCAAGCCAGTGACAATCAAGCACAGAAGCACCTAACCCCGGTCCCCAGTGGCCGCCCGTCTCCCGCTCCGCCCCAGGCGCCTGTGGGGGCCCCGGGCCCAGTACCGGGGGGTTCAGGGGCCGGTCACCCTTCAGGGCAGCAGGTGTCCCCCATGCTGCAAATGCAGCAGAAACAGAACCGGATCACCCCGGTCCAGAAGCCCCAGGGGTTGGACCCGGTGGGAATCCTGCAGGAGCGAGAGTTCAGGTAAAGTTTGGACCAGAGCCACAGGTTCACTGCTCTGATTTTTATTTTTTTGTTGTAGTCTAAAATGTGAAAACTGAAAATGAAGATGGAGATCTGGAACAAGGCTTCTTCTGTCTTTCCACACGGCTTGGCTGCTGATTTTAAACTCAGAATGAGCAGCATGAAAACTCAATGAAATGCATTAAAATTCATTGAAACATATTAAAATGCATTTCTATGAGATGTTTATCAGAGGAATTAATTTTCTGGAGCTTGAACTGAAATCATTGATAATGAATCACAAAACGAATCAACAAAGTCGTTTTCCCTTCAATCTGATAGAAAGTGGAGTTTATGGTGGCGGTCCTATTTAGTCTGAATTTGGATAAGTGCTTTATACATTTAGTTCATTTGCTATTTAGTTATGATGAATTTAATGAACATGGGAGAAATTAATCTAATTGGCATCTAGAGGTCAACAGTTTAGGTTGTTGCAGGTCAGTTTGTGACGTACATGAGTCGGAGATCTTGCAGTTTTTGTCGACTGAATTAATTAATTTTTTATTCTCTTTAGTTACTCCCTAACGATCTGTGATCAATGTCTCCATTCCGCTGTTGTTCCTTCTTATCGTTGGACAGCAAAAGCAATAATCGTAAAGTGAAAATGTGTTTCTTGTAATGAATTCCTAGTGATTTCTGTTTTCTAAAAAATATGTGTATTCTGTGGCTTTTTAACGGCGTGATGGTCTCTGTCAGGCTGCAGGCCCGGATCGCTCATCGGATCCAGGAGCTGGAGAGTCTGCCCGGCTCTTTGCCTCCAGACCTCCGAACTAAAGCGACGGTGGAGCTCAAGGCGCTGCGGCTGCTCAACTTCCAGCGGCAGGTAGGAAAGTCTGAACCTAAAGCTGAAGAGTTTCTGGCCTCCAGTTCAGAGCAGGAACTGTAATCCAGCACTGAAAACAACAAAAATAATTCACAGCAACTTTTGCAAGAAAATTAATCTGATTTTCTTCAGGTCTGCCACTACTTGTCTTTTGCTTTTTGGCTCTATCCAACATTTTATGTAATTAAAAAATGAGACATTTCTCTTACAGGCGAGTTTTTTGTAACAGTTTTTACTGCAAACCAGGACATAAAAAGAAAAACATTTGCTACTGCGCTATCTCTAGCATGAAGATTGTTCAGCCATGAGTGAAACCGTTTCCCCGCTTTACTTAAACATCTCCTCATTTTTTCCTCTTTCTCATGTAAACTAGCGATGGAAAAAACAAAAAGTTTTTTTGGATCTTCTCCAAAAGAAGATCTTATGTGACTCGTGCGCGTTCTGTTGAAACCAGATCTTCACTTTCACTGAATAAAAAGTCACACTTTTTCCTGACTGTCTGAAGTTAAATCAGATTAAGCTTCTCCGTTTTAGGTTAGTTGGAATCACCAGTTAGCAAAAACATTTTTTAGATATCTTTTGTAACTTTTTTCACTATGAAATACCTCTTTAATTTCTTTGTACTGATACAAATTTTATTTTATGCTATAGCTGTTTTCATTCAATTGTCACAAATTTTGAGCAAACTTTTCAAATGTGGTAAAAAAAGAAAATGGTAATTAAGTGTTGCCATTAATCAGACTATGCAAAGCTCAAACATTTATAGAAATGTGGTCAGTATTATAAAAATTTAAATAACTAGTGGCTGCTAAACGTTAACGCCACCTTTAGCGTGCTCAGCAGTATTACACATGGCTGTAATATACAGGAAGTACAAGTTGCTAAAGAGCATAAACCACAAATCTCAGAAAAATGAAGAGTCCTCTGCTCCACGATGGACGTTTGGACTTTTTCAGTTCAGTTTTCTGGTGAGGCACAGACCCAGGAGAGTTCACTCTGTCAGAACTTACTAAGAACTCAGAACCTCTAAATTTTGTGAAGTGAAGTCACTTATTTCAAAATTCAAGCCCTTTTGAATGTGATGCATCATAATGTGCATAAAAAAGCATTGATCGAAACTTTTTTTTTCCATCCAGCTGAGGCAGGATGTGGTGGCGTGTATGAGGCGCGACACGACCCTGGAGACGGCCCTCAACTCGAAGGCCTACAGGCGCAGCAAGCGGCAGACGCTCAGGGAGGCGCGCATGACGGAGAAGCTGGAGAAGCAGCAGAAACTGGAGCAGGAGAAGAAGCGTCGACAGAAGCATCAGGTGAGCCCTCTGAGCGGGGGCCAAAGGGTAGCTTTTAGTGTAAAACAGTCAAAATCCTGAATATTTTTAAACCTAAATCATTGTTGCTTGGTTTGCAGGAATATCTCAACAGTATTCTTCAACATGCCAAGGACTTTAAGGAATACCACCGCTCGGTGTCCGGGAAAATCCAGAAACTCACCCGAGCCGTCGCCACCTGGCACACAAACACTGAGCGCGAGCAGAAAAAGGAGACGGAGCGGCTGGAGAAGGAGAGGATGAAGAAGCTGCTGGTATGTCTGTGGCTACATCAGCTACAGAAGGACAAAATTATTTTCCTTGAGATTTTGTTAAATGATGTCTTGCCATTCAGTCCGCTGTGTTTCAGCCGGACGATTATTTCTGTCGCACAACGCTCTGACTCCCACCAGTGAGCTGCTGACCAATGCTAAGTGCTGTTAGCAGCTATGAGGAACATGTTTTAAACCGCCGAAAAGAGAGCGCTCACTCTGGGAAATATTATTTAAAACTTTTATCACTTAAAATGACTGACTTTGCTCTCTCTCGGCTTTGGAGTATAATTCTCTCCATTTTTAGCTTTTGCTTAATATCTTCTAGCTGCATTTTGTTGCTATGTGGCCAAAAAGAGTAATAATGTTTAAAAAATAATAAAACATAGATTGTCTAAAAAAATAAGAAGTTTTGTATTAAATTTTTTGGATCAAAAAAATAATTTTTTTAATCTAAAAAAATATGGTACGTTTTTTAAATAAAAAAAGTTGTATGAAAGACAGCTCCTCATTTTAAACTTGCTTTTCAATTTAAAAAAATTCATATGAAATGTTTTATTTCTCACTGAGCGTGTTCTTTGTATTTTAAGCAATGAAGTGTTTCTTAAAAAAAGGAGCCAAATTATTTATTTGTTGCTACAAAAGGTGAAAATTACTGTTACTAATGAAAGGGTTTAGAACAGCCATGAATTGAATCCATTGACAAAGTTCAGGATTTGTCCCCATATGTTTTTTTAACAGTTTTACATGTTTACAGTCAGCGATTAGGAAGTTGTGTCCGTTTTGAGTTTCTGACCGTTTGATGGCTGCACTAGGAGTGAGAAGGTGAACTAATTAGCCTCCTGTCTCCGTCTGTCCAGGAAGAGGATGAGGAAGGCTATCGAAAACTCATTGACCAGAAGAAGGACAAGCGTCTGGCCTACCTGCTGCAGCAGACGGATGAATACGTGGCCAACCTCACGACTCTGGTGTACGAACACAAAGCCGCTCAGGCTGCCAAGGAAAAAAAGAGAAGGAAGACGAAAAAGAAGGTGGGGAGAAGTTTTGGGTTTGTTCTTTTCTCCTGGCAAAACTATAAATACCAAAACCAAAAATATAAATTCTTTTATAGAAAATATTTCTGTAACACTATTAGCCTGTATTTGCAGACAGAACTGAAAGAAGGTGAAAACATGCAGCAAAAGGCACCAAAACTATTTGTCATTAAATAATTTGTTTGTCTTAACCATAATGTTGTGTATGTAAAACATAAATTCAACGTGTGTCATTAATCTTGTTTGTTTTGAGCACACTTTCACTATTAGCAGAGCTCCTTTGTCAGTTCGCACTTTTTCCTGACTTTTAAAATATTTAGCAGTTAGCTTCCCCTAAATTCATTCTTCTGGATAAATTTGAAAGCACAATTGTTTTTGTTTTATGAACTTAGTTTGACATCTACGTTGAAGTTTTGGCTATCAATTGTTGAAACATCTTCAAGTAGCTCAGCATTTACATTAATACTTTTATTTTGAAGTGGGTGAAGATAATTTACACAGCAGCTTTTCTTTTTCATTTCCAGAAGGTGGAAGGAGACGGTGAAGGTACCAGCGCCATTGGACCGGATGGCGAGGTTTGTCGCTGTGTTTGAATGTTGGTGTTTTTCCACCTTTATTATTGGAATTAAAGTTGTGTTTTTTCTGAATTGTTGGTCATGAATTACTGGGCATTTCTATAGAAATGAATATGCAGCTCTGCTCTGCACTTCTGAGCAGAGAGAAAAACATTTTAGTGACTATTGACTCTTTATTTTTCTCTCATCAGTAATAAATCTTTAAAAAAACATGAGTGAACCTGGTGGTCGTTTAGAGCCGAGACCAAAACAAACTCAGAAAAACAGGGAATATTGCATAAATTGGATGAATCTTTTATCCAACTCCAAGGAAGAAACAGATTTTTCTACTTAGTGCTGAAGTCTAAAGTTTCAGTTTCCTGTTTGGCCTGTTTTATCAAACAGTACAGATTAATTGCTTGGTCTTAATCTGTTTACCTTTTTGTCATACGCATCTTTAGAAACAAAAACCTGTCAGAAAGTTTTTGTGAAACTGCGTCGCGTTTGTTTGCTTGTTCTGCTCAAAGCGTCTCGTTGTGTTGCAGCCCATGGATGAGAGCAGCCAGATGAGCGAGCTGCCAGTTAAAGTGATCCAGACGGAGACCGGGAAGGTTCTGCAGGGGACCGATGCCCCCAAGTCCAGCCAGCTGGAGGCTTGGCTGGAGATGAACCCTGGGTGAGAAGCCGTACTGTTACGCTGAATCAGCTGCAGAAACCTTGACGATATTTCACTGAGCTCTGTTTGTGCTTTATCTGCTTGGAGCACATGTTAAAGGGCAGATTTATATGGAAATAAATGGAAAAGTGAACCAGAGCAGGATCACTGTTTCCCCTACTGCTACTGAATTATTTAAATGTTTCAGGTTGTAAAAAAAAAAAAGTTTCTTATGCTGTCTGGAAAAGACTAGCGTTTGATTCTGAGAAATGTTCTAACATGCATTTGAAATAGAAAGTTTTTTTCTTTTCTGACTCACTCTAATCTTGTCCAGAGCAGTCTGTGATTTTTAGCAGACTGTATTTTTGGGTGTGACAGGCAGAGGTTGAAAAGATGAACCGGAGCTTTGATGCGACGCATTCAGCCTTTCTGGGATCTGCTGGAGTATCAGCCTGAATGAAAAGCAGACGCATTTCTTTAGAAAGTTTTCTTTTAAACAGCTTCTTAATGCTCTGTCTGACTTCACTTGGAAAACATCACTGATCCTGAAAATGGCTAAATTTGATGCAGCTTCTCACAGTAGTAACATCCACACCGAAGAGTGTCATATTTTAAGTGTGGTGCATTCACTGATTACGCGCTTGCCAAGCTGAAAATCTGCCAATACCGGTTTCTAGTAGAATTAATTTATCAGACTGACACCAAATTAAATTAAATTAAATTAAATTAACAGTGCAATCCCTTCCTTTAGTTCTCATCACATCTGAAATTCTGTACAACTCATCGACCAAATTCCGTATCAGAGAACAAACTCATGAAGATGCTCTCTCAAAACTAAAAAAAAAAATAGTTACATATTTTCAGGGAGAAGATTGGAACCTCTCTTAAGTTAGAGAATATGCAGATGATATTCAGTTGTACACATAATTCAAACCAAATGAAAAGGTCTAAACTCCACAGTTAGTTAAAGTTCTGAGATGCCGTTTAATGGGTTTTCTTCAATTAAATTAAGATAAAACTGGAATATTTATCTTTGTGCCACCAAAATGCATAAATAAGATAAAAAAGACTCTTAGGAACCATCTGGTTTTACTTTGGATGGAAAGTCTCTGTTTCGTTCTTGTTTTTAATCATCGTGAAGTTCAGCTGCATTGTCTCGCATCCTGAACAGGGAATAATTATTCATCCTTTTATTCCAAAACAATTGGAATATTGCAATGAATTATGCAAAAGTCTTATCAAAACCTCTTGAGAGCAGTTGCAGAGTAATCAACTTACTGCTGCCAGGCTTCTGGTCAATTTGAGAGTCAGTTATTAACTTGAAGAGCCGTTCAGGGACAGACGCAGGCGGTATCAGAACGTTTCTGCAGGCAGACGGACACGGCAGATCCCTGGTGTTCTGCTGACGTTCTGCTGATGGTTCCTCATCAGACAGTGAAGAAACGAGGAGACAGAGCGTTCTGTTCGTGGCCTCCAGAATCTAGATTACTCTTCCTTTTGATTTAAAATACATTTCAAATCTGCTGTTTATTTACTTGTGTTTTTATTAGGGGTGCACCAATGAACCACCTGATTACTTTCGTTTTGGGTGAGCAGCTGATACATCAAGATGAAACCGATCTTAACTCTGATTTTTCTGTAGAATAATGCAAACCAGATGTGAAATGTTGAGTTGTTACAGACTCTGAGACAAAGCTCATGTTTGAGATGTCAAAAAAACTTTTAAATGATTCAGTATTTAAATGTCTAGATTGACATAAAATCTACTGGAAACGTTAAAAAAGTATGTTTGTCGGAACCTGACGATCTATCGTACTGGCAGCCTTCGATTCTGACCTCAATGCAGATTGAAATGAAAAACCAAACCAAGCGGTGTGCAGTCGTTCCTCAAGATGTTTCTGCTTCTGCCTGTTCTCTGAAATCTTCCCTGATGATGGAAACTTCCTGTGTCTGTTTTTGTTCTGACCAGGTATGAAGTCGCTCCACGTTCAGACAGCGAGGAAAGCGGCTCAGAGTTCGAGGAAGAGGTCAGTGACCTTCATCAGTATCACGTTCCATCCTCAGTTCTTTGAATCAGCTGCCTGCTGTTTGAACCAGTTGCTCCACCAGGGGGCGGTAGCTGCAAGCTTTATGTCCACAGTTTTAATTCTTAGCCTTTGATACATTTGGACTCTTTCTTTAATGATCTGCTTTCAATTTGGCCTTATCAGGACGAAGAGGAAATGGGCAAGGCGGAAACGGAGGAGAAAAAGAAAATTGATCCCAACAAAGAGGCTGAGAACGACGCCAAGAACGTCATCGAGTACTGAATTTGTTTTTCATTATCTCACATATTACATTTTAGCTCTGAGAACACGAGTCCGACGCAGGCATAACGAAGTTAAAGACGTGTCAGACGGGAGCAAAAGCACTTCAGCTGTTCTCTTCCTCTGCACACGTTCAGGTCGGCCAAACAAGACGTGGACGATGAGTACAGCGTCCCCACTGGGCAGACCAGCTCCCAGTCGTACTACGGCGTGGCGCACGCCGTCATCGAGAAGGTGGAGAAGCAGTCGTCTCTGCTGATCAACGGCATGCTCAAACAGTACCAGGTAAACATGCTCGCATCAAACCGCCTCCTACGTTTGAAATGCTGCGAACCAATCCACTTTTTTCACTTCCAGGGCTGATCTCTGAGGTTTACTAGGTTTCTATCCACCACAAATCTGCAATAAACTGCCAGAAAACTGCAAAACAGCTGAAACACTGAGTTCCTTTAAATCCAGACTAAAATCCCACCTGGTTAGAGTTTAGAGCTTTTGAACCATATTAAAGAAAACATTGAAAACATATTTGATGTGTATGATTCTGGTGAAGTTTTAATTTTGGTTTTAAATTAATTTTCCTATCAGACTCCTTTCAACTTCATCCGCAGTCATTTTTGCTCTTATTTACTGTTTAATGTTGCATATTTTCCTGTTAAGTCGCTACGCCAGTGTAGAAAAGCAGTTTGAAGTCTTTTTATGGACTCGTACATTGTCTTGGCAGTAATCAGTCAGAAAGACAGTTGTTTAACAGAAAAAACACACACTGGTGACAATAATGGAGTCGCCATTTTCTGCTCATTAAGATGGATTTTAAAAGCCTATTGGAGTAACAATAATTGTCTTGTTTCCATAAGTGAGAGAGTTAGCTGTAATTTAAAATTCATTCAGCGCACACAGTGCAGCATGCGTTTATATTAGAGCATCTGATTTTAGTTTAAATTCAGCAATTTGGTCAAATAGAGATTTCATGCTGAAAAAAAAATTAACTTTTATAACCCACAGGTTGTAATTTTTCAGCTCTGAATTACAAAAGTTAAAATTTGTAGATTTTCCAACCCAAACTTCAAATTTCCCAAAAATTACTGCTTTTAGAAGTGATTTATTTGATGTTGATTTTTCACTCCCTGAACAAACTGAAGGAAAATACATGATGATCTTAACAGAAGTCTGAGCTGCATAGTTTCTGTTTAACTTTAATATCCAAGCATTTAGGATTCAAACTAGACCTGCAGACTAAACCTGTTAGCCTTTTGCTGGAGTCCTGCTGGGAGGACGGATACGATCAGATAATAACTTCCACTGCTGCAAACACAATTCAGTCCCACACACATCATCAGTTTTAGAAGCATAAATTAACCACTTATGGGCCGAGAGAAGCAGCTTCATCGTCCATCACTGATGTTAGCTGATGCAGGTTTGCATCAAATTATGGGTGTTCCAGGAATGATGGGTTCACAAAGTTCTGTCCTGAAAATAAAAATGAAATTATTTATTGTATATTATTAAAATGATCAGTTAATTAAAATGAATGCATTAAAGTCCTGGCTATAGTAATTTGTGATGCCCGAATCTTTTTGTTGAATTTTGATGCCAGAGATAAGCTGGACAGATACTTTAAAAATCTGATTTAGTTTTTATTCTCCATCTTAGATTCAGCTTTGAACTTAAACATAAAGTTAGGTGAAGTTTTAATGCTTATAGTCACATTATCTTCTCGTTCTATGTTTGAGTCAGAGGTATGAACCTGCAGCTTATTTCTGTCTGTTACGGTTCATCTGTTTTCTTGCTAATCAGCTTTTCTGTGTTATAGCCTCTAGAAATTTAAATTAAAATTTTAAGAGCTCAAACAACACCTGGAAATCTGTATTTTTCAGCAAAAAGCTGCTCAGCGCAACTCTAACAGGAACAGGAAGGAAGTAATCTGCTGGAGATGTTTACTTTTAATAGAAGTTAAGCAGCATCCAGATCATTTGTTTAGGAATAATGGCATCTTGATAATCCTCCTATTCTTAATTAGCATATAAATTATGTGAAGCTGGCTGGCTGTAGCCTAGTTTTGTTGTTGTTTGCATCCATTAGCGTAATGTTTTGCAGCTTAGTCAGACATCTGGATCCTTCTGGAGCCATTTAAGCCGATGCCCATCTTGTCCTGCGTGTCTGTAAATGAGCTTTTACCTGTTGGAGGCAGTCAGACATGACCAAGCAGATCGGCTGTGATCCAAGTTTCACTGAGCCGCAGATTGCTGAGATGGAGGACGAACGACTAAATTGGGAGCAGCTCACATCGTTTTTCCTTCAGCATCCAGTTGTCTCTCTGCACACCCCCCTAATTTACCGTTTGGTTGGTTTTATATGAGCATTGCTGCTGCTGCTCCTTAGGGATTCTCCAATAATTGGATCACTTGTTTCCACTTCCAGCATCAGTCTGCATAACAAACCTGGAGAATTTACAGAGGTAGTAATATTTCTATTGTTCATTTGTGTTAATATAAGAGCTGCCTGCTCTGGGAGAAGGAGACATTGGTGACAGACGTGCTGATCAGAGACACAAGGATTATAATTGGACCTCCACTCTGCCGCCGCTGGCCTCCTTCTTGTTCCGTTTCAACATCCTGCCTTTTGCTCATTGTTATTTTGCAGCTTGCCGTTACTTTTCCACCTGCTTTATTTGCTGCAGTTCTGAAACGCAGCAAGATGGAAAAGCAAACACAGCGAGCTGACCAGGAAAATCTGGTTTGGGTTAGAAAAACTGACATTCAGATTTTATTTATTTCAATTCTGTTGTTTTTGCTTCAAACTGTCACCATAAAGAATTCACTTTTTTAATCTTATTACGCATTCACACCTCCACAAACCTATCAGACCTTCCAGTCAAACATACTAGAGTTGAATTACAGAGGATTAAACAGAACCGGTGTGTGGTTTCATCTGCAGTGTGTCATTTTCTGCGACAGAAACTATGCAGCTCTGCGTGTCGACGCCTGAAATGTTTTTTTGTTTGTATCTTTTTAAGATCCAGGGTCTGGAGTGGATGGTGTCCCTCTACAACAACGACCTGAACGGCATCCTGGCTGATGAAATGGGCCTGGGGAAGACCATCCAGACCATCGCCCTCATCACCTACCTGATGGAGCACAAGAGGCTCAACGGCCCCTATCTCATCATCGTTCCTCTCTCGTAAGAACTCCTCGCTGTGCTGCTACTGCAGATACACAGCAGTACAGAATGCAGGATGTTTTATTGGGTGGATCATTGTGTCACAATTTTATACAAATAAAAATCTAGACCTGAAAGGGGGAAGTGATGCTTTCAGCAGGGAAAACTTTGATTCTCTGCTGAATCAAAGGGAGCAGAGGTCGCGCTCGACTTTTATCTGTCATTCTGACCAACAGCATTAAAACTATCTTTACCTGCCAAATTATATTCATATCATATAATCATAAATAGGTTATTTTCATGTGGTTTAGTTAAGATTAACTGTGAATAAAGATCCCATCACACATAAAGCAGAAGAACAAACCTACATTTTTGTTTGTAGTGACAAAAACCACTGACTTATAATAAATAAAACGACTCCACTTGAATTAGCAGCTCTTCACCCGCTGGGGTCTGAACACGCAGTGCCTCACAAATTCCTCCTGGTCGCATCTGGAGAGAAATCGGCGCTAATTCATTAATCAGTCGGATCTGTCTGATCCAAACCGATCGGTTCAGCTCCCCGAGTTTTTTACCCTGCGCGGTTTTCGATGCGCGCTTTTACAAGGATTTGTTTGCATGGTTTCACTTCCCCGAAATGGACAAATGTTACGTCTGCTGCACTTCTGAGAGCTGCTCTCCGTCTGAGCGCGGGAGGGTAATGTCTTCCAGCTCCATTTGTTAAAACCGCTGGATGAGTTAAGTTTAGTTCTTTGCAGTGGCGGACCCGCGTCCGCACTGCGTACGTTACGGTCTAATTAACTTCTGCACCGTCATTTATTTCTTCAAGATAAACTGTTTAGACTGTAAATGGATAAGCTGCTTTCTCTTTAGTTTCTCTGTTCTGTACTGGAGACGAGAATTAAAGGCATCATTTCAACCAAAGGTTTGGGATGCGCTTATTAACCAGTCGCTCCAGAGCGTCCGGTCCATAACTCTTCAACACGCTGTCAGCTCTCGGTCAGAAACACGCATTTAGTTCTCATGACAGGATATTCAGAAAGGATTTGTTATTGATTGATTTTAGTTGCCTCTACGATTAACTCGATGAATTACAACCTGTCAAAATGACCGACGGTCTTTGCATTGTCCCATCATTTAAAAAAAAAAAAACGGTCATAAAATATTCCGTTAACGTGACTCTGGGAGGGAGAGCTTAATTTTTTAAATAAAAACTTTTGTTAGAAATGTCTTAATGTGAGTTGAAATCCTCCGACCATCTTGCAGGATTTCTTCTGTCTACCATTTTCTCTGAACCGTGGTTAAAATCGCAGATCCTCTCTGCGGTAATCTTCGAGTACCTCTCCACTCTCCCTCCTGTATCTTTGCACATGATGGGTTCAAAGTGGCTCTTAAAGTAATTCAAGCTGCTGCCTTTGAAGAGACACTTTGAGTGCTCCGGGTTCGCACCATCCAGTGATGAAAGTTAAAGCTGCAACATTTCATTTACTCTTTTCCAGGACTTTGTCCAACTGGGTTTATGAACTTGACAAATGGGCTCCTTCTGTGGTCAAAATTGCTTACAAGGTAAAATCAAATCTATTGTTTTATTTCACCTGAGCTGTTTTTCTTTTGTGTTTTTTTTTTTGGCTAACTTTATTTTTTTTCTATTTTTTCCATGTAAGGGAACTCCTGGTCTGCGTCGGGGTCTCGTCCCTCAGCTCCGCAGCGGCAAGTTTAACGTCCTCATAACGACGTACGAGTACATAATCAAGGACAAACACATCCTGGCGAAGGTAAGAGAGATCAAAGATGCCAACGGGACGCATCTTTGATCCGGGACGCTCTGAACTTGTCTAAAAAAACACTCTCTGGTTCTGCTTAAAAAGAAATCTCTTACATTCAGTTGTTTTTCTTTGATTTATATTTGTGTTCAACTTTGCAAGATAAATCCTGAATAAAATAATGAGCTTTGCAGCATTAAGAAAACTTAAAAGCATCAGTCTCTTTTTGCAATACTTAGCTTTTGGGTTCAGTCAGAGCTTTGATGTCCCTCAGAATGAGAGCAGGCAGTTTTGATGGATGGAAATCATCGAAACATTTACATCTTAAAAAAGGTGCATCTAAAAAGATTGGAAAATTATAAAAAATTAATTCATTCTACAAATGTATTAACGTTAAATAGGATAGATTTCAAGCATTTATTTCTGATCACTTTTCCTTACAGCTACTGCAAACCCCATTAGTAAAAATAAAAAGTAAAAATAACTGATACAAAAACAGTATTTTATGCTTTCAGTCGTCAACGGAGGAGAATCCTGACTTCATTCATTGACATTGTTAAAAAAGGTCAATACTAAAGAAACTGGTTGTATTCAAATTATTTTATCTTAGCTAAAATGTTTAGTGGAAGGAAAAAGTGTGGTGCAAAACTCGAGAGGGATTATAGCAGTCTTGAGGTTTCTGCAGAGTTCTTTAATTGTTAGGAATTTAATTTAGCACAGACAATAAGTGAAGAAAGGCCTGGTTGACTCAAAGGAAAGACAACCAAGGAGGAACAATGGAAGAGATTTATTAAATGGAGAAACTGACATTCTTGAATCAAAATGGATACGATGTAGAAACCCCAATGTGAGGGATGCAATGTGTGAGAACATCTTTTATGTTCCACCCATGTTTATTTTCTGTTGGGGAGAAAAAGACAAAGCAGTATATTATGTTTTTCAGCGAATTGTCTGGAGAACATGGTATTTATTCGCTAAGGCAAAGAACTTGCGATAAATTTGATGCCATGGGATAATTTAGTATTTTGCCATAAAGTACTTACTGATATTTCCTCTGAGTTTTCTTCACCGCTGCTGTTTTTGAGCTTTTTAACGACGCTGCAGTTCTGACTCCGCCGCCGGCGTTTTCTTCCACCCAGATCCGCTGGAAGTACATGATCGTGGACGAGGGCCACCGCATGAAGAACCACCACTGTAAGCTGACGCAGGTGCTGAACACCCACTACGTGGCTCCGCGCCGCCTGCTGCTCACCGGGACGCCGCTGCAGAACAAGCTGCCGGAGCTCTGGGCCTTGCTCAACTTCCTGCTGCCCACCATCTTTAAAAGCTGCAGCACCTTTGAGCAGTGGTTCAACGCGCCGTTCGCCATGACTGGAGAGAGGGTAACTGGTTAAACTGCTGCTCTTCTGTTAGCCTATTCTTAGTGGCTTAGAAAAACCTTAAAACTGGGTTTAAATGAACAGTTTTCTTTTAAAACGTGTAGCAAAACTTATTATTCTTCTATTTAGGAAGTATAACTGCCGGGCCGGTCTCTGAGGTTCTGCCTCTCGTCTGTTTCAGGTCGACCTTAACGAGGAAGAGACCATCCTGATCATCCGCCGTCTGCATAAGGTGCTGCGCCCGTTTCTGCTCCGCAGGCTGAAGAAGGAGGTGGAGTCTCAGCTGCCCGAGAAAGTGAGACGTTTACTTTGACTCTTGCTGTTATGACTCTGTTTACGACATGCAAAGTGTTGACTGCTGCTCGACTTTTAACCTGTCAGGATGACACCGCTGTCCTCATGGACCAGTTAAGGCTATTAAATCTCTGACGTGTAGAGATGATGCAGTCCACCGACCAGAGCTCAGAATCCCCAAACTTTCATTTTATTATTTTTTTTATTGGTAAATATAAAGTTATTGAAACGAATGTTCAATAATTTCACTGAACTTCAATCTGGAACCACACGGCATTCTGGGTGATGTAGGCAGAGCAAGAGCTAATTAAGCTGCTAGTTTGGCAGTTTGACAGATATTTAAAATAAAAAAACAATCAATAATTATCTACTTGTATTGATCTGAAACACTTAAACGGTTTTCCAGCCCCGTTTGAAGTCGTTTCTCAAACTCCCTTTAGACACCATTGACTTTACAATGTTTGTGTTCCTCGTCTTTGAAGCTGCTGAAAAACACCTTTTGAAATCTGCAGAAAATATTTTCAACAGAGAAACTTCATGACTGTTTTCCTCCTCTTCTTTAAGGTGACGAAATGTTTTGTTGTGCCACTGCAAGCGATCCCCTGCTTCCCTCAGAGTTGTTAATTTTTATCTTTTCTGAATCACATTTGAGTCTCTGCCCAGCTGTCTCTGAGATGGACTTTCTCTTTAAATCACATTGTCTTTCCTGACCTTTTAGTGACACTTTTCCACTTCATGGGGAAACTAAAGCTGTCAGCCTCTAGCTGCTGATATGTGCAACTTGTCAGCTGCAGCTGTTAATTATCAACAGTGATGGGGTCACCATGTCAGGAATGTGCAGTTTGAGGAAAATTTGGGCTTCAGAGTGAACTAACTGCCATATGAAGTTGTCAAAAATAATTGTTTTGGTTCCTTCCATTCATTCACTTTGTGTTCACTGTTTTCTCTCTGCGCCGTTGAGACAGAAAGTCTCCACTGATTATCCCTCCTGTTTCGCACTCGTCAGGTGGAATACGTCATAAAATGCGACATGTCTGCGATCCAGAGGGTGCTCTACCGCCACATGCAGAAAGGCATCCTGCTGACCGACGGCTCGGAGAAAGACAAGAAGGTGACTTTCATCCTCATAATGGCGCTTTCCTGCTGTTTTTACGTCAAAGGAACCGCTTCTGGACATTTTTCAGCCTGACGTGCATTTTGATAAAATACAAAATAAATATCAGAAGTTCATTCAAAGTTTAGGTCGTAACTCAACTGCTGGTTATTGTCATTGTTAGTTTAGCTAAATTCACAACATAACAATATTAAATTTTCTTCAGGGCAAAGGCGGAGCTAAGACTCTGATGAACACCATCATGCAGCTGAAGAAGATCTGCAACCATCCATACATGTTCCAGCACATAGAGGTGAGCTCTGCTGACAGGAAGACATGTTTTCTGATGTTTCATGACTTCAACTCCTTTATAGCCATTTCAGTTTTTCTCCCAGTAGGGTCTGCTCACTGGGTTACCGCAGGTTTTTGAGGTCTTAGAAGTCGGAGTTGTGTATTTTTGTCGTCAGATTCTCGTTAAAACATCATTATCTCCCATTGTGAACATTTTGATTTATTATCTTTGTTCATTGTTTAGATCAAGATAAACCAAAATGCTTTGAGGCGTATTTTCAAAGCTCTTCTCAGATACTTTTTTATTTTTAAGACTTCACACCTTTCCTAATAAAAATCTGACATTTTCTTTGATTCAGGAGTCTTTTGCTGAGCACTTGGGTTACCCGAATGGCATCATCAATGGGTAAGTTACACATAAAAGGGCCCTTCTTCTCCACAGCATCTCAGCTCATTTCATCATCTCACTTAAAAAGCATTGAATGTGAAAGAAGACGGCTCAATCAGGCATAAGAGTGAAAATGTAGCCGGACTTTCAGAACTTTTCAGAGTTTAAACAAGTTTTGGTTGGATTGACCAGACATATTCTACAGTACGGCTCAGGGTTTTGTTTTAATTAATTATGTTTTTATATTATTATCTTTAATGAACCTTTATTTAACCAGTTTGCTAAAAACCAAACACAGACAGACTGTTTGTTTCATTTGCATAGTAGCTGTATTGTCATTACGTTTCTCCAAAATGTGGCTCCAAAGGACTAATAATGCGCCTGCGCCACCACATTTCTTCTTTGTTTTATTTTACAAAGAAACAGCAGCTGAGCAGGTAGATCGTTTTTAACGCCATGGTCTCCTTCAGGCATGATCTGTACAGAGCTTCTGGGAAGTTTGAGCTCCTTGATCGGATCCTGCCAAAGCTGCATGCCACTGGACACAGAGTCCTGCTGTTCTGCCAGATGACGTCTCTGATGACAATCATGGAGGATTACTTCAGCTATCGCAACTTCCAGTATCTGCGCCTGGATGGTAAGATCACGGATACCTGCCAAGATGGCTGTCAGCTAGAAGGAACTGTCTCAAACATCAATAAACTTTCAATTGTAATGAACATTTATCGCATAAACGGGGAGACATTTTAAATATCCAGAATAAATAACCCAAATCTTTAAAGGAATAACAAGATCCTTGTTTTCAGGAACCACCAAATCCGAGGACCGAGCTGCACTCCTAAAGAAATTTAACGAGGAAGGGTCTCAGTACTTCATCTTCCTCCTCAGTACCAGAGCCGGTGGGCTGGGGCTCAACCTGCAGGCCGCCGACACGGTCGTCATCTTTGACAGCGACTGGAACCCGCACCAGGTCCGTCCATCTGAACATAATCATGTTAACATGTAAAGCAGTTGTTTTAAAGCCATTAACCATTTGGTTCTGACTTTATAGTCTGCGCAAAGTCATGGTTTCGCTTTTGACATTGTTTCCTATCATTGACTTTATAAAAAAACTTTTACTCTCTCAATGATTTTGTGTCAACAGGAAGCTATGACTTAATATGGTTGTTAGAAATCGATTCATAAATTTATAACCAAACCGTTTTCTTTCATTCTTTATAACTTTTAGCCTTATTGCTCACCTAATCATCCATTTGTAGGATTAAAACATCTGTGTTTTATTTGAAGGAAATACATTCTCATGGTGTCTGAAGCTTTTCCACTCATTGTTTTTCACACCAGTCCTATTTAGTCTGCATTAATCAAACTCTGGTCCTTTTGCTTTGGGCTCTGGTTCGTTTGTGGAGGTGAGAATGTATAATCATCAGAAAAGCAAACTGTGGTTTTTCTACAAACCTCGGTTCAGGTGCAGTTTGAATGAACATGTGAACCGAAGACCTATTCAAAAGCAGGAAGTGGACTACAGAGAAGGGCATTCTGGGTAAATAAAACCAAAACAAATGTGCAACTAGCTATAGTGGGAAAAATGGTTCATGGTTTTTCTATCAAAAACAAAAGAGAAATCCTACAGCCACTAAAGTCTGATGCCATTACATTTTATAACATCACACATTGTTTTTGTCACAGGCTTTATGTTGTTCTCTCATGTTCCATGTTTCCTTCTCAGCCACCTTTTGGATTCGCAGCGCAACAGAGATGCATGCAATACCTTTAATTCCTATTAATGACATTTTCTCCTGTAACTGCAGGACCTGCAGGCCCAGGATCGGGCTCACCGCATCGGGCAGCAGAACGAGGTCCGCGTTCTGCGCCTCTGCACCGTCAACAGCGTGGAAGAGAAGATCCTGGCTGCTGCCAAATACAAACTGAACGTGGATCAGAAAGTCATCCAGGCCGGCATGTTCGACCAGAAATCCTCCAGCCACGAGCGTCGCGCCTTCCTGCAGGCCATTTTAGAGCACGAGGAGCAGAACGAGGTAGGAAAGCTGCATTTTGATGCTCTTCATCATTCAGACACGACCCTCCGGAGCGAGTACCTCATTTAAGTTCTGGAGTTGTAAGAAAAGTAAATGGCTGATTGTTCCACTTGAGGTAAATTATGTGTTATGCATTTGGAAAATTTTAATTAAGTCCTTGTCGGCTCAATGAGGGCGTCTCTTTGATGTGCAAACAATTTGCCCTTCAGTCTTTTTTTTATAGCCTTCTAATCCAACCTTAGCTGTTTATTTCCTACTTGAAATCTGAACAGCACACTTGAGTTTTTCTCTGTCTGGCAATAAATATGTTTTAATCCTGAATGGGTGACGCAGAGCGTCCTGATGACCATGTCTTCTGCTTTGTTTCAGGATGAAGACGAGGTCCCTGATGATGAAACGCTCAACCAGATGATAGCGCGTAATGAAGACGAATTCGATCTGTTCATGGTGAGAAACTCATTTACATTTACTGAACCTTCTGAAGGTCTTTCTGAAACACTGATGATCTGTCAGCGCCAGAAACATTGAATCATTTCTATACACACTGCACAGAGACATCAGTTTGCATGAAAACAACCTGATTGCTGCAAACGTCTCTGGAATTTGGCATTTTGGTTTGTTTCTGTGTCGACCAGGCCCACCAGGTCGCCTCTGCATGTTTTCAGTTAACAGTAGTTACTCTGCTGTTACCAACTCAGCAACATTTCAGAACAAAAAAAAGACAGTTATCCAGAAAACTGCCATTTTTATACTCCTATTTATGTGATTTATTAACATGACTTAACCTTTTTCCCTAATAAATACAATCAAATGTAAAATAAAGTGAAAAAACATCAATCTGACCTGCAATATCTTTTCACACCCTGGTTCTTTTGTTATTTTCCAAAAAACTCTCATATTCTGAGCTGCTGTTGCGCCGCTGTCTGTTGTCCTGCAGCGCATGGACATGGACCGTCGGCGCGAGGACGCCCGGAACCCGAAGCGTAAGCCTCGTCTGATGGAAGAAGACGAGCTGCCGTCGTGGATCATCAAGGACGACGCCGAGGTGGAGAGGCTCACCTACGAGGAAGAGGAGGAGAAGATGTTTGGCCGAGGGTCGCGCTGCCGGCGAGACGTGGACTACAGCGACACGCTGACCGAGAAACAGTGGCTGAGAGTAAGAACTTTCTGTCATTTACGATTTATCCAACAAAACCTGCAAACATTGGATTAATTAAACCGAATGTTAATAAAAAAAATCACAGTTAAAAGCTCAAAATGGCTGACAAACTGGAACATAAATATAAAGTGAAACGCAGACAAAGCTGCTCACATTTCCCTACTTAGTAATATATGTTTCTAAATAATAACAATAATCGTTTAAATCAGCTTTTATGATTTTACTGAAGGCTTCTCTATCATTACAGCAGATGATTTGACAATTTAATGCATGGTATTTATAGCAAACTACAGCTTTTTCCCTCTAACTTGAACACAGCTGTTATAAATTTAGGATTAGTGTTGCAAAAAAAAAACAAAATATCTTTGTTTTGATGCCTTTATTTGGCTGTTACTGTATTTATTTGAATATTTTTAATAATTCACAGAGGGACAACAGAATCCTGTTTTTAAGGAACACTAAATATTTTATTTTGCTATAAATATTTTATTTTTATGGCAGTTTAATTTTAAATGTATTCATTGGAGAAATCTTTTGTTTCCTGTTAATTATGTGAATCAATTACAATAGTCATTGTGAGGCAGAGGGGACAGAAAGTGTCTTCCTCCATTTTGATTCACATTCACTTATAAGCACACACACACACACACACACACACACACACACACACACACACACACACACACACACACACACACACACACACGCACACACACACACACGCGCACACACACCCCCCCCCACACACACACACACACACACACACACACACACACAGAGAGAGAGAGAGAGAGAGACTTGATTTCTGTGCTGCTGGTTTTAAATGGTCTCTGATTTACAGAAAAACAAGGGAATGTCAAGTTGTTTCTTTTTTTTCTGCTTCAGTTTTGCTTCTGACGCTTAGTTGGCAGAAACTGCTTTTTAAAAATACTGCATCCCTTTACATTCTCCACTTGTAAATGTATACTGATGCTATTTATTGCTTTCATATTATATAATTATAATGTTTGAACAGAAGTAGAAGTTTTGCTTTGTGGGACGCTGGTGACAAATAAGCACTTTTCCTCTGGAGAAACACCAAAACCTCAGCAAATCAATTTTATTGAGTTGCTCAGACGCTTCAGGGAAAAGCGGAATTAGAACAAAGACACTTTCGGGCCAAGGTGACAGGATGTTGAGACCAGTGTAAGCTGTGGCTCAAACACACGCTCATTAGAGGAAGAAAAATGTGGGCCGACATGCTGGCGGCGTGATGCAGAGGAACGAAAACCACCAGACAAGGTGACACGCAAACAAGAAGATCTGGGTTTGAGGAGCAGATTTAACTCCACGTCTAAAAAACAGGGAAAAAATGCTCTTTTCTGACAAGTTAAAGTGTATAGAACACTGATAGACATGTAAATAACTAAAACATTTATAGTTTCATGGAGGGAAATTATAGCTGGTTGATTCGACTAAAAAAAGTATCATGATTTAATCGATAATTATTAAATGATTTGTGTTTCAAATGTCTGAAATACTGATAAACTAGTTGTGTGACCGAGGTTCATCATGGTAAAAAATTTGCTGGCCGATACATTGTCCCAGAAATGATCTTGATAAACTATAATGTTGTTTTGAGACTATTTTTAAGTAATAAAATGGCAGGAATGGCAAAATGATGCAAGTTTATTAATCTCAAAGATTAATAAACTTCATGCTAATGACTATTTAACACTGTCTTCCAGTTCCACAGTTAAATGTTCATCAGAATTGAAACTTTATTGATTTTGAGAACGTGTTGTTGATTTGTTATTATGCCATTCTTACCATCATCAACAGCAACATCATCATTTATCACAATAGCCTCCTTATTATCCAGCATCATTTGTTACCATTATTGTACTTACTGAGGCTAAGTGACGTTAACCGGGTCTCACTTTCAGGCCATTGAGGACGGGAACCTGGAGGAGATGGAGGAGGAAATCCGCTCGAAGAAGCGTAAACGCAAACGGCGTCAGGACAAAGACTCGTCCAGCAGAGACGACGGCGGCATGAAGGCCAAGAAGAGGCGAGGGCGACCGCCGGCCGAGAAGCTGTCGCCCAACCCGCCCAAACTCACCAAGCAGATGAACACCATCATCGACACAGTCATCAACTACAGAGACGGGTACGGCTTTCACTTTAACGAACTCAACCCAGAGACATGAAAACGTTGTTTAGACCACACTGTGCGTGCGTGTGTGTACAGTGGTGTCACTTCCTGCCCATATAGAAAACGCTGATTGCACTGATTGTGCATTGAGCTGTGTGTGAATGATGGTCAAAATGACTCTGAGGGAAGAGGTGGGAACCCATGAAGCATCTGATGAAGCACTGAAATATGAGGCCTGTGAAAATAGAAAAAGGTTTTCTCACAGAACTAATATTTAAAACTGTTGCAGCAGATTTTGGCACTGCAGAAAAACCCCTTCTTAAGAAAACAGAACTATAAATTTTAATGCGACAACATTTTTATTTTAATAGAATGACCAACAAATGTTTGAAAAGTCAACAGGCGTGATGTTTTGTCTGCAGCGTTGCTACATGTAGCTGGAAATATGAAAACTGATCAGTTTATGTTGATTTTAAATTATGTATAATCTTTCTTTTTTGCTGTTTATCATGTTTTAATGTTATTCATCAAAAACAAACCTGCCTTGATTCTTCCATGCATGTTTGAGAAATCCTTTAATCTTCATGGCAACCAGTCAGCTGTGCAAAACGTCTGGGTGGACCTAGCCCCGCCTTCAAGGACGAAGCTCCTCCCCACAGCTTCAGTTTCCAACCTTCTGTCTCACGAACAGCCCTTCTCTGCTTTTCCCCTCAGCTCCTTCAGACTAGCCATCAGCAATTATCAACACTGCTGATGTCATTATAGGAGCTGCTTCTCAGAGCAACGCTGGTTAAAAATGTTGTTAAAGGATTAACAAGAAGCCATATTGTGATGACTTCCTGAAGGAGGAGTTTCAGAAAGCGTGGGAGTTCTTAAAGAGACAGAGACCCAATTAAAGGGCCTTCATTTATGCAGTCAAATTTCTTGTAGGTTGTTAATAAAAAAAGTTGTTTTTAGAACAACTGAAGGCCACATAGTTACTTGATTATGCTATAAAATGCCACTATCTGCTGGGAAAATACATAATAGTTCTCCATTTAAAAAAGAAAGGTATATTTTTTACTTTCAAATCTGGAGAAAAGACAAAATTATTTTTGAACATCTGAAAGATTTTATTTTTAATATTTTAATCTGAGCTTCCCGATGTGCCGAGTGGACCACAATAAATGTAGCGCGAGGTTTAAGTCTTCATTATTAATCCTTTCATTTTTGACCTATTTTCAGACACATCCTGTAAGAACCTGATAGGATTCAGTCGTAATAAAAAGATCATCACACACTGGGATTCTTTCAAATTCACTCAATAAAGGATGAATCTTTTTCCTTGAATAAGTCTTGGTTCGACTCTTCGCTGCTTTAATGACGGCCGAGTTTTTATTCAGGCAGCAGGAGAGAAACCAGACGGCGAGATGCTGCTTGGGGCCTGAGCTGATTAACAGCATCTCTCTCCTTCGGTCCTCCTATAATCCTGATTGCAGACTTTAATTAGTGCCTCTCCAAAAAAAAAAAATCTTCACCTATAGGAAATAAAAAATGAGTTTTCATGCAGGCTGATCCTGTAATAATGTTCAGGTTTTTACTTTTAGCTAAAAACAACTCAAATATAATTAAGCCAGATATTTTTTTTATAAATCCAGAAGTTCAATTCCTTCCTCTGTCTGTCGTCGATTGTTATTCTCAAAGCACATGTTGGCCTGGATCATTAACAAAGAATAGGAAGGGAAAGTTGAGACTAAAGCACCAAACTGAAGACGTTTGTCTTTTCTCATCCAAATAAATACCAAAATAACCTCCAAACTGTGTGAAACGGTAAAAAATAAAACTCTTATGCATGTAGTCTTGTAGCAAAGCTTCATTTCCTCTCTACAACACATGAAGGTTTGTCAGCATGAAAATCTCAGCAGATAAGCAGAGAACTGTTCTGGGATCAGTTGTTTTCCTGATCTCACATCAAGAGTTGTAAATAAACAAACCGAGCAGCTCTGAGGTTTCTAGGAAGTGCAATCATTCATGGTGGCGTCACAGCGCGAGGCAGACATCTGAAGATATTCTTCCTGACTCCACATCCAGGGAACTTCACAGATTATATCAGACTACAGGGTGAGGTCATATTTCAGTCTTCTGACGCATTCATATTATTTATTTTTAACCTTGACTGTTAAGAGTAGAGCTGCAACAAACATTTTGGTTTCATCTAATTAGAAAGAGACTGAAGCAGAATATTAATAAATACTTGAACTAGAAAATAATTTTTATGACAGCAGGAATAAAAAGTTTTTATTAAAAATATGTGATTTTCTGGCACATTGTGGCATTTCATTGCACACTCATACAACTGTTACCTTTAGTTATTAAAATACTGTATATATGAAATATGACTAAAAAAAGCTCAACTTCCTTATTTAATGCCTTGAATTTGGGCCCCTGTTTCTTTAAGAAGCTCCTGCTCTTTCTGAAACTCCGCCTTCAGGAAGTCATCACAACATGGCTCCTCTTAACCCTTTAACAACGTTTTTAGCAGCGTTTTCTCTGAAATTATATAATGAGCTCAGCAATTCCACCGGGTGTTTGCCAATTGCTCCTGGCTAGTCTAAAGGAGCCGAGAGGGGGAGGAGCTCTGCCTTGAAGGCGGAGCTAAGTCTACCCAGCCGTTTTGCCCAGCTGAATGCATTAGAGCATAATATATCAAAAAGGCAACTTTACATAACAGGTGGGGAGCATTATATTATTTGATTTATAGCACAATCAAGTAACTATTTTACCTTCAGATGTCCTGTCTGTCATTTTGGCAGGTAACTAAATCAATCAAAATAACATTTTAAAATCCCATCACTGATTAGCATATTGTGGCATCTGCAAACATTTCTGCAACAAAGAGTTGGCCAAAACTCTGCCATAGAGATGGAAAAGATTTGTCACCAGCGATGGAAGTTCTTGCTTTTTCTGACATTAAGTAGAAAATCTTCAGGGGGAAAAACTTTGTTTTCTGCGTTGTGATGCTTTCTGATGGGAGACTTGGCGTGTGGGTGTTGCTTTGGACGCAAAACTCTCCAGAAGTCCTGCAGGCATTTCAGCAAACATCCAAACGCAGCAGCAGAGAGTTCACTCCACTAACAGATTGTCATTAAGAAGATTAATAGCAACCGTCGTTTTATGACTCTTCATTAGCCGTATTATCCAACCGTTTCTCAAATCATCCAGGACAAACATGAGAAGACATCTGCTTAAGTGGATGAAAGAGTTGCTGGTTTGTTTTTCTGCTTTTAATTTTGGTCCCATCTGGGCTGTTGAAGTTGTGATTAAAGTCAAAACCTCCGGCCCATTTTTTAAGATCCTATCAAATTTTGGAAAAGTAATAATTGAGGCGGTTGTAAACACGACAACAGGAAGTCTCCTGGCACAAACCGCCAGTGAAGCGGTGAGGTTAACGCTTGTGGGAGAAAACATTTCTGACAGAAGCAATCAAGTGTGTCTGTTTACAAGATGAATGTACAAGAGGAAACTCCTACTTCTGCTGACTGAAGTCTGTTTCTTTCTTTCCCTGGGGAAATTAGCTTTGGGGAAACTTCAGGTAGTAAACAGCCTTGGTAATCTTTGCTTGTACATGAGCTGGCAAATAAATATTCATGGGTTGCACACATATTGGACTTGGTTTTACAACCTTTTCACTTCAACTTTAATAAATGTTGTTTTCTGCAAGATGAATAGGATTGAGTTTATTAAAAATTAAAGGTATAAACTGCAAATATGTTCTTCCCTTTTCCTTTAAGCTTCTTAAAACAGGAACTCTTCTTGTTAGTTGCTAATTATAAAACTGTATATGAACTGAATCGCTTCAGTTAAACGGTCTTTCAACCTGGAAAGTTTTCCGGAAGTTTGTTTGTAAGCTGAATGCTGTTTGGTTCTGGTTCTGGATGCAGAGCAGAACCAGAAGACGGCAGAGATCTGGAAGGCTGACAGAGCAACAGCAGGTCTTTAATGCACTGTGGTGCTTAGCCGTTCAGAGGTTTATAAACCAACAACAGTATTTTGAAGTCTGTTCTCTGAATCCCAGTTTTGAGGTTTGTTTTCTGTGTTTGCAGGTCAGGCAGGCAGCTCAGTGAGGTGTTTGTGCAGCTGCCGTCCAGGAAGGAGCTGCCAGAATATTACGAGCTGATAAGAAAACCCGTCGACTTCAAGAAGATCAAGGTTTGCTGGTGACATCAGCCCAAACTTAACAATAAGAGCCTGATGAAGGTTTAGAAAGGGCTTTAGTTCAATCTCCACCGGCTGCTAAAATGTTTGGTACCACACAAACATCTCTGTGGTTTTTGGGGGGATTGGATGTTTCTGAATAAGTTTTATAGCAGCTTTGATCATAATTATTTGTAATTATACAGTTAATATGAGAAAATGCAGACCTTTAGTGTGAATGTAGATAACTCTGAGACTTGAAGAACATTTTCCTTGCCGATATCAGGAGCGTGTGAGAAACCATAAATACCGGAGTTTGAGCGACCTTGAGAAGGACGTGATGCTTCTGTGTCAGAACGCACAAACCTTCAACCTGGAGGGATCCCAGGTACAAACACCTTTTCTCTGATTAATCCTTCAGCTGCTCATGTTTTCAGATAAACTGCAGCACTTTCAACAAGCCTCACTGTGAACACTGAGTGTCGTCTTTCTGTTGGTTGGTCTGTCTGCGGCAGAACGCCACGTCTCTGTCCATTTTTGACACTTTAGTACTTTCTGCTGTGCTTTGTGTTGAATTGCCGACGGTTCAAACTAATTTTTTGAATAAGAAAATAAACATTTTACTCTCTAAAATGAGACAAAGTAGCTAAAACTGCCTGCTGAGTTATTCTCTGTAAAAATATTCAGAGACATTTTAATATCTTAAATAAATGTGTGTATTTTTGAACAGTTGTGGCTTAATTGCTGCTCTGAATATGTTGTTCTTTCAGTGTTTTGAGTTTGTGTGCTCCAGTTCAGATCAGCTGACAATAATCGATTAATCCGAATAATCACCTTAATATTTCATCACTTTGCACTGAATTCATGTTTTTAAATCCTTTGTTGGGGATTTTACATTTTCACACTTGCAGTTTGTGTTTGTTATTTAATAAGATGGATGGAAATAATGTTTTTTCTTCCCAAAATGCATTTTAACAACTTAAAATTCTCCATTCATGGTTGAGCCTTCTGGTCCCAAAGGGATCAGTCTGTTTGCCTGTGCAGAGAAACGACCTCTGCCGCCACTTTGAATAATTTTCCTGACCTTCGGTTCAAAGACATTTTTATTTTTTGTGAACAGATATACGAGGACTCCATTGTTCTCCAGTCTGTTTTCAAGAGTGCCAGACAGAAGATTGCCAAGGACGAAGACAGCGAGGATGACAGTGATGAGGATGATGATGATGACTATGACTCAGAGGCCGAAGGTAACACACACAGTTTAAAACACTGAATATCAACCGTGTTCATTAGGAATCGCAGCTGGAGGTCGATTCGGCGCCTTTCCACTGAAAACTCTGAGTCGCTGCAGCTCTGAGATATTTAGTGCACTTTTATACTTGGTAGTCTGTGAATCCTACCAAGAATTTACAGAGTAGCTGTAAATACTTGGTAGGATTTTGTGTTTTTGCAGTGAACAAAGTCGCTGCAGCTTGGAAGCGATACTTACTCCTGGTTCTGTTCTCCAATTTCTGTTCAGCCAAGTCTGTGCGGGTGAAGATCAAGCTGGGTCGGGAAGGACGTGGCCACGACAAAGGCAAGAAGAGGCAAAGCCGCGGAAAGGCCAAGCCGGTGGTGAGCGACGACGACAGCGACGACGACCAGGACGATAACGTAGGTTTCTGTTTTTATGGCAGAACTGTCCACTTTCAGCTCTGGCACATTTCTTGTTATTGGAGGTTTAAATCTCTTTACCAGCTGAAGTCAGCAGGTCACACAAAAATCTATACTTCAGGTAAAAAGAAAGTCAAAGGTTATCATTCAGTGTCATTTATATGAACTTTAGGTCAAAAAGCAAACCAGGAAATGGAAAACGGATGTTTGAGGCTAACGCCGTGTGAACTGGTTCTGATGTTAAACCAGACGTTTCCGTCCAGGAACAGCAGGACGGAGGCGTTTTATCCACGGTAGCGTTAGCTTCTGGACGCTAGCCACTAGCATGGGAGGCAGCACTGATACCGAACGAAAACCTGGAAGGATTTCCAGAGATCCTCCTCTGATGTTCGGCTGAAAGCTGAAAACACAAATGCCTCTCTGCTTTCTGACTGCCGTCTCTCTTCCTGCAGGATCAGTCGGATAAAAGCAAAAGCGACGACGACTGAGGAGGACCAGCTGCAGCAGCACCAGCTGCAGTAGCAGAAGCATCTGCAGCAGCAGCAGCTGCAGCAGCTGCAGCAGCATCTGCAGCAGCGTGAGGATGTTGAGCTTTAAAAAAAGAGCAATATCTTCATTTTCTACAGAGCTTCATGCTGTTTTCTCTGTTTTTGTTTGTAGTGCGTTTTATCTTCTCTGTCATCACCTTTAAAATCTATTACTAATCAATCAGTAACTTACAGCAATGCCAATCAGCTTATCATCTTGTTTTTTGGAGTTTTCTAGTATATTTTTATGTCTGGCACAGAAGAAATTCTCTATGAAAAACAAAGACGCACATTTGGTCGTTTTATGAATTCATCTTAAAGTTTGTGAATATTCCCCACATTAATATAAGAAATAAAAATTGATATATTAGTGAGTTTGTTTTCACACTCATGGGGAGGAGAAACAGTTTCAGGTTTTCTTTATTTTCATGTTTTGGTGCTTGAAATGGTAAAAATGAAAAAAATCCTGTTTTTTCCCAAATGCAGCCACTTTAACCAATCCAACTTTAACTGGGCTTTAAAAACGTTTAGTGTTACGCAATTTTCTTTGTTTCATGTTTTAATTGTCTTGGAAAGTCAACAATATTGATAATTACAGTTAAAATATATTTCAGCTGCCATTCTGTCTAAAAACATCTAATTTGACCACAAAATTTATTATAATTCTTAATTATATTCCATTATAATGAATAATTGCTTGGTTATTATATTCTAAACAGGAATTCAATCAGCTTCAAAGTATATTTTAGTTACTTTTACTGTTACTTTATTTAGAAAATAAAAACTGCTACAATGAGCTGAAAAAAAGTATTTACCTCCTTTACAGATTTTATTTTGTTTTTTTTTTGTCAAATTAAATATTTCAGATCAAAATAATTTTAATAGAGTAAATAAAATAAAAAACAATGCAAAGATTGTTGTTTTAACAAACAGTTTTTCTATTTACTCTATTTTTATCTTTTACATGAGAAGTATTTTACTTCTCATGTAAAGTACATTAGAAGTAATGTAATTACGTCTAATGTGTTTTTTTGTTTTTTTTCCTGTGTAAAAAAAACAAAAAAAATATCCAGCAGGCTATTTTTTTTTTTTGTCGTTTCAAAATGCCAAGCTACAGTACAAAACGCTTCTGATTTTTAAAGAATAATAATAGAAACGTACACTTTATTGTAAATTACTTTAACAGCTGGTATACAGATGGAAACGAGTATTTTATTAAATAACTGCTCCTTTCCTGAAAAGCTATTAAAATCTGATCTTTAAAATTTCTAAAATAATATAAATCTTTTATTTTAACGTGAAAGTGGATAAAATAAAAGATTTTAAAAAAATAAACTTTTCTCTTTAGACGTAAACAAACAGGCACAACCATAAAACCATTTTTAAAGTTGATGAAATATCTCGAGTTGAAACATGAAATTCAGACGGTTAGAAATGCAGTCCGCTTTTTTTTAGTTTTTATTTTATGAATGACAAACATCTTTACATGTTATTTTATAAGCTTCTATGTTCATTATATTCTGGTAGTTTTAAAAATGTTAAACACTTTTTCCAGTTCCTTTCTTGTTTATTATAAGAAATGTCTGTTGTTTAAATCACTGCATTGTAACGGACAGCAGCTTCGTAAGGAAACGTTTCGCCTCAAAGCGAGTTGCATGAAAACTAAACGGCGTCTCTCTGGTTTCTGAAGGGAATAAAAGCCCCTTTCAAAGCAGAACCTAAATGAACAGAATATTTTAAAGTGTATTGATTTATTCATCTAGTTTGTGTGTGGCTCGTTGTCCCGCCTCCGTTCTGTGTGTTTGTAGCATGAACTCCTGATGCAGATTTATCACTTCGCTCCGTGAAGCGCTCCGTCAGCGCGGCTTGGTGTTTGCTTTCTTTGCACAGCGTCGTTGTGGTTGTAATCTAAAAGCTCCCAGCAAATAAATATCCATGACTTTCTGCACAAAAAGGTCTGATTTTTAGTATTTTATTGTTTTTATTTGTTGTTTTATTTCTGTGTGTGGAGGGTGAATAAATTACTATTATTGAAAAGTGATTAAATTCAAAAGCAATAAGAATTTTGTTGTTTTACACTGCAAAAACTCAAAAGTTTTACCAAGTATTTTCTGACTATAAAATTGGTTCATTTTGCAAAACTGCAATGGAAACACTGCTTTTGCGTCATGCGAGTCACATGATCAACAACTGGATGTTACTACTGGCAGAAACCACGAAAAAGTAGACGACAGGAAGTGGTAGGAGGAATAATTTTAGCGACTTGTTTCAATTGCGTTTTCTTTTTAATGGAAACACCGTCATTGTGAAATTGTTGTTTTTTTTTTTACATTAGGAGAACATTGACGAACGTCTGCAGTCATTTTCCCACTGTTCCCGGCAGAAACTGAAACATCGCAGAGCAGCAGAAGAAGAAGAGCCTTGCTCTCCACGGCACATCAAAAACCGGCCTCCTTTTTTTATCCCTGCCATTTTAAACAGAGCTTCTCTAAGCCACTGACCATCCATGGCCTCCTTTTCATCCGGCGCTTTGAAGCGCCGAGGTGTTGGTTCAGGCCTGAGCCCGAGAAACGACGGGCAAAGTGGATGCTAATCCTCGTCTGAGCAGCCGGGACGTCAGGTGCCAGGGCCCATTCCTGCTCTCCCTCTGTAGCCTTTGTCTTCGCCTCCACCGCCGGGGATCTGTCCAACTCCAAATAAAATCAGGAATCTTTTTTTTCGCCTCCTGATGACTCATGGATTGTGATCTGAAAGGGCCAGGTGTCCCGTGTTGTGAAAGAGTTCGGTTTGTTTGGTGCATTCAAAGGAGGGAAGCGGCACGATATCGGTGCTAACGCTTGCACAGCTTAAAAGGAAAGCTGCGAGAGGGCTTTGAGTCCCTCCGGATTCCAGGGTTCACTATCAGTTTAACGCATGGTCGGGGAAAATCCTCATGGATTCTTTTCCTTTCAGATCGGAGGGCAGCTGAGGACGCATCTGATGTATCAGTTCACACCTGAACTGGAACAAAAGCAGTTTACATCAGATTTCAATAAAAGAAGCTTTTTACATCTGGAGGACATTTTAGTCAGAAAAAAATGAATTGAATTCAGAATTTGTTTTGTTAATTAATTGATCTCAAGCTCAATTTAAGGAAGTTTTCTCACCTGATAGTCCAGTAGATTCGCTTTGATTTGCTGCCTGTTCTCCTCCTCGCCTGCGGGGGCACTGCACCAAGATCCACTGAAGGAAACAACATAGAAACATCTAAAAAAGACACCGAGTGCAGCTTCCTTCTTCATGAAACGTAAACAAAAATTTTCACCATTTGTAGGATTTCTCTTTTGCGCTGGGCTAGCATGTTTGATTTGCCTGTATTTTCCCAGAATGCCTTGTGCTGTAGTCCACTTCCTGCTTGCAGAGCGGTCTGCGGGCCGCTTGGTGTTCACATCCGCAATCAAACCACACCAGAGTTCAACCGAACCGAGACTGAGGTTTTCAGAGTTCAACAAACAAACTGGACTTTCCAGACAAACTTTCAGAATGTAACTTTTATGAAAATGTTTTTTTAAATATATTTATTCAAACTCATCTGTCAAACCCAGAAGGCAAGTCTTGGCACTGTCAATCAAGCTCATGTATGCGCTGTTAAATGTATTAGAAGCAGATTATTATTACAGGAAAACTGCTGCCATTAATGGCTATGCTAACTAGCTTTAGCATTCATGATGAACCAGCTGTAGTGTAGCAAAGAGCCGCTGGTGCATGAGGGTCAGTCTAGAGCTGCAGGATACAAAATAATTCAGATGAAAAACCTTTTTTCTGACCCAGAACCATTAGTCAATATCTAATCTTTCCTTAATACAAACTGGAACATTTCTCTATGAATCTGACTTGATAAGAGAAAAAATCAATATTTTACTTTTTTCTGTCTCATCGAAACTCAGACGACTTGGACTGAAATGTGTTTTCCAGGAACATTTGGTTCAGTTCTGGAAAAGGAAAACCTGAAGCCCCTGCAGGGGGAAAGGAAGATGAAACGGTTTTGAACCGACAGCTACACAGAAGTAATGATGAGTAAAAAGACTAACTCAGCAGCAAAACAAAAACCTTCATCACTCAAAATTAATTCATTTTTCTTATTCAAAGCATAAAAGTTTATGTGGCAAAAATCTCAGCTTTGATATCAAACTGTTATCTGCTGCTGGTAAGACACTGACCGCTCAGAAACGCTTCAGAGAACCACACCATGTAAAATGAGCCTCCAGTTTTTTATTCACTTGCTTTTGAAGGAGTTCCATGAATCTTTCTGAATTTTCAGTAAAAGAAACTTTATTATTTATGGCAGCATTAAGTTTTTCACTCTTGCATGAAGCTGTCAGAATATTTTCAGTGAGACTTTGTTTCTTTTTCGTCATTTTTAATTGATTCGGCCTTCAGCCGTGTGAAAGCGAACAAGAAAAATAACTTTTAGATTCAGAACGCAACTCGAGTCATGATGTTTGCTGTTCTCATTTCAGAAAATCTGATAATTAAAAAGAGAAAGAAACTAAAAATCAGTCGTTGGGCATCATTTAAAATTCTGATCGATTTAACGGTGTCCGAAGTGCGGTTCGACGGCCATTTGTTGTCCTGAGACTGAGTTTTTTGTGGCCCCCAATTGCAGTTGAAGAATTGTTTTTTAACAGAAAACAAAGTCCAAATGTTTTTAAAACAAACTTTTATAAGCAGTAGAGCCACGTTTATCTGAAGAGCTCTGGAAGACAATGATCCAAAGTCTGAATGTCAAACTGAGCCTAAAAGAAATAGAAAACTTTCTGTTTTTACAGCAAATTAAACATTTGCATTTACAATGGAATAAAAAATGCTGCTTTTTTAGCTTCATTTTTGTTGGAATATTTTTGACCTGATGTTGGTCCAAGTGGCAAGAAAATAAAAACCCCAAATGACAATTTTTGTAAAATATATTTAGAGACAAAAGTTTTTTAAGTGCTAAATGTGTATATTTTTGTACAACTTTTGCTCTGAAAGTGTTGCTTTTTTTGAGTGTCTCCTTCAGCTGACAACGAACCGATTACTTAATTAATTGAAGATTATGTTGTGATTAATCAGATGAACCGTTTCAGCAAATTTAAGCAAAGTTTGCTTTTTATTTTTTCGCTGGTCTGTCAATAACGCACCTTCACTTTTATGCTTTTGATTTAATTTTTTTTAAACTTCACCGAATATAAATATCTCTGGATGCATCAGTGATGTAATTTTTATTTGTCTGTTTTTTCGGTTTATTTTCTCTCAGACTGATGACTTGTAGATTCCTCTCTTCTATTCTTGTCTCTTTCTTTTCCTTTTAATCTTTTCCACCAACTTTCTCCCTTTTTTTCTGTCTCAATTAAACCTGAATAATTTTCTAATCATCTTTTATACGTACATGAAGTGGAGCATCACAGCGAAAGCTGTAACTCTCCACTTGTGAAGGTAAATCTGTTGGCATCTCACTGACAGACATCATACTTTAAAAGAATGAATAAATGCACTTCAAAAATCTGAAAAGTTTTAAAATAACCTGAAGAAAAGTCAAACTTTCTAGATGTTAGTTTTAAAATAGCTGAGTTGGGTTTAAACTTAGACTGGTTTAAGTTTCTCCTGATTTGTTGGTTTGTTTATTAGTGACCATAAAATGACCTTTAAAACGGCCAATTTTATTCCCACCTTCCCTGTTTTTAACAAGCCCAAAGCCGTGACGTGATTCAACATCCAGCAGCAGCAGAAGAAGAGAAAAGGCTTTTTCCAGTTTGGCTAAATGGCCCAATTATGTCTGATCGGTGTGACATCCGGCCGGCGAGTCAAACGAACCTGCAGCAGGAAACGACTCAGAGCGGCTCAATATCTGGGTATGAAAATATGCATTTAGCCAGAATCCGTCTGCTTTCCTTTCACTGTTGTGTCAGAATAAATTTTGCAGGCACTTGTTCTCAAATTAGTTTTGAGTTTCAAGCTGAAGTTGGAATCAGGAGAAAACAACAACAGCAGAGGAAAGATGATTGGCAGCTTTGTTTTGATGCATTCGGTTCCTGGCTGAGGCAAAAACAGACGACGGTTTACAGAGGAAACCTTTAGAGTTCACAGAGTCGCTGCATCAAGTTCAGGCAACATCTGGATCTCTCAAGCGAGATCCAGATGTTTTCTGAAATCATGTAAGATTTACTTCAATGTACTGAGTAATAAATTAAAATAAGCTCAATAATTTTCCATTTTTCTCTTTTTTACAGAAACTGGATGACAAGATTCTTCAATTTGCTGTTTTTGTCTCAATCCTTTTTTGAAGGTCAATTTTGTTTTTCATAATTCATTTTGTTTGTTTTCCTGTTTTAGTTTGGATATTTAAAATATTTTCCACCTCCACTGTTAAATATTTATTAGAATTTAACGTTTGACAATATGTTTTGCATTATTATGCCATTATTATTGTTATATTACTTGTAAATGATCTCAAAATAACAATAATATAATTTATCGCGATAACTTCTGGGACAATTCATCATCCAGCAAAACAGGATTTAACATTAATTTCCTTTGGAGGATTTTTTAATTAAATCATTTCTTATCTGATTCTAAATCTGTAGGCAAATCTGTAAAACTTAAACTTTACAAGACAATTGGGACCAAATTTAACTTTAATGAGCCCAATTTATCTGATCAAGTGTATTGATCACAGAATATTCATCTCAAACACTCTGA